ATTTTTGCTCCACAAAAAAAAATATTTCTGTTAGGATAATTTTATTTTTTGCTTTTAGAAAAAAAATATTTTTGTCTAGAAACGCTCTTTTTGCTAAAAACATAATTTTCTATAGATAAGATAATTATTTTCAAAAAATATGTTTGTTTTCTAAAAATAACTTTTTTCCAAATTTTAATAATAAAATAATAATTTTGAATAATCTTTTCTAAAAATTTGGTTTTACTAAAATTTTTTATTTTTATAAAAATTGACTACTTTCCGTAACTGATTTTTTTAAATAGTTTCTTTAATTTGTGGTAAATTTTCAAATTTTGGAATAAATATTTATTTCAACAAATGTATGGTAAAAATAGACTACATAAATAGAAATGTGGAATATTATAAAAAAAAAACTCTAAATGATTCTCACAGTTTTCTTAAGAGTTAAGAACTCTTAGAAAGTATGTTTCTTGTGATTCTGAGAGGGTACGATCTATCTCTAAAACTAAGTTTTTGACTCCCAGAAAGCCAAGCCATCATTAGATCTTAAGAAACCTCTGTAATGTCATCAAATTTGCAAGGTCTAGTATTTGCTTATTGACAGTAAACTCTTCTCACAACGAAGCGAGTATATCGCTGGCAACGTGGAAATATACAACGGCGAATCGGGTTCCGTCGCGATAACAACAGAACTCAACTCCTTCCTACCTTGGCTAATAAAAGGAATCATTGTGACTTAAATACTGCATTATGGAAACGCACAACAGCAGCATGGGCTTTCCAGTGAATAACCACTGTCGCAGTCTTCGTTTCAAATTCATTGAGCTATCGGGTTAAATTAATAGAAGCGTTGATCTGTGCAAATATTTAATGTAAGCAACATGCATTTCAGAATATTAAAAATAAGGAAAACAATAACTTATAATAATCTTCTTGGAAGTGTGCTTCCTCTCCGCAGCTAACCTGATTGCTACTTGCATAATTGTTTTCCTCTACTTTTTTTATTTTAATCAGTTATCGCACAAATAAAATACCTCGATTTAATTTGTATTAAAATTGACTTAGATTTCTATTTTAGTCAAGGTCACTCAACAAGTTAGCTTTCTGTCAATAAGATCTTCTTTTTTGCACAGACGGATATTCAATGCTGGTCGATTGGTTGGTTGCACATGAAAATGAAGCGGAAACCAAATTGCTGCTGGTCGGTGGCTGCCTCTAAGCTCAGCATGTGACACACATACCACTATTATATAAATGTGCATATGTATGTACAAATGTATTTGGATATTTATGAGAGGAGGGCAGATGTGATTGGAACCAGAAATGCATTGCCAAAACAGATTCAAGTTTGTATGTATGTATATCGACTTGTATATACATTAGGGCGGTGCAAAAGAAGTTAAGTAGGAATTTAATGCTCTCACCCTTAGCATTGTTCTATACTGAAAAAATATACCCCCGTTATTTTTATTATGAAATGAAAAAAAATTTGAAGGGGTCGCTCAAAAGCGCTCAAAGTCTTCCATGTATTTGGCTTGAAAAAAAATAATAATTTTTGGTGGAAATACTATTGAACCCTTGAAAATTAATATTTTTCTATCGGATTGCTATTTAACCATTTTTCATTAGTAATTATTTTTTATAGGTACCCCCAGAAACCCCAAAATAGCAATGAGGGACCCACTGTTATTAAAAAATGGTAAAAACCATTGAATATTATTGGTGGAGGTCTCCTGAAGAGAAATATAGTTTTCCGATCGAAAAATATTGCTTTTCAAAAATTCAATACCATTTATTTTTTTCCCCATTCAAAAGACACAGAAATCTTTGAGCGACCTCTAAATATTTTTTGAGTTCAAAACAACAATATATAACAATTCTAGGGTGAGAGCATTAAACTTCCAACTTTACTTATTTCACATGCATTTTTGGACCACCCTAATATACATATGGGTATACAAATACAAGTCTATTCCGAAATACGCAGATGAACAGATACAATTTTTTCGATAGTATCTGCAGATAAATTCTACGATTTTGCAAGCACTCGCATCTCGCATTAAAATCATATGTTTTGATTTTGAAATTCAGCTCCTCTGTTTTACAATTTTTACTTTAATTAAAAGTGTGTTTTACGTTCTTGGCAATATTTGAGTCGAGCGGTCGCTATTTACTTGTATATGGAAGTGTATTATAATTATTTACATATGTTTTAATTTTAGGGAATAACGAAAATTTAATAACACAAATTCTATGATTATAACACAAATTATATTACACGTAGCTAATTTATTCACTAAAAATAATGAATCGAAATTTCTCTATAAAATTAATTTAATAAGGAAGCCACTAAAGTTAATAAATTTATTATTAACAATTTTAACCAGGACATGCCAGAGTGGCTGTCAGGGATATAACAGTTATAAGTTTTATCGGAAAAACGTTGTTCCATAACAGTTATTAGATGAGAAATATTTTTTATTTCGCCAATAAGAGTTATTGCTCAACGTTTACTTTTTACGTTGCCTGATAACTGTTATGAAGGAGAAATACATTTTACGTCTTCAATAAAAGTTATTTCCCACCGTTTATTTTTTACGTTGCTTGATAGCAGTTATTACCCAATGTTTATTTTTGCGTTGTCTGATAACAGTTATTTCACTCCTCCCCTCTTATTTTCATCATGTTTATCTTCTTCTCCATTTTCATTTTCGTCATTATTCTTATTTTACAACGTTAAAATATTGGACAATAACTGTTATCAAGCAACGTAAAAGATAAACGTTGGGCAATAACTGTTATCAAACAACGTAAAAAATAAACCTTGGGTTATAACTCTTATCGGCGAAATAAAAAATATGTCTCATCTAATAACTGTTATGAAACCACGTTTTCGTTAAATTTCAGAAATCGGAAATCGTTTTCAATTTGTAAATTCGAGATAACAGTTATTTTTGGTCTCTGCTCTATTTTAAAGTTACAGTGATAATGACGTCGCGACAACCCTTTGGGAGCTAGAGAGCACAGCCGTCGTAGTAGTTTCGCCATACATACGTGGCATACGATACGGAGGGTGCTCCTCTTTCAACGCTGGGGAGCTGGGTGACCAAGTACGAAAATAGTCACGTTTTGATTCGAAGCGATTCGAATGCTGATCACGTCCCGTGGGGGAGCGCAGACTTAATGATCAGGATGAGTCACTTTTCAACTACCTCCTAAAAACCAGCCTAGTTACATATATGCAATGAAGGCAGGGAATCTGTGCATGAAAAAATACCCCTTCTTAACCTTCTTGCAATACCGTGAACATACCCGTCTCGCAAGAAAGGTTAAATAGGTAATCCAAAGCTTCAAACCATATAAAACTGCACGATTGGACGGGAGGTGTCTGCGAAGTAAATTTTAAGTACTTTCAAGGCCTGTTTTAAGCCTAATCATATACCGTTGGCATGGAGAAATGTCACGACTGTATTTATTTCAAAAGCTGGAAAGGCCGCGCATTTTAACCTCAAGGATCTTAGGTTCATCAGCATTTACTCCTTTGCTATTAACAGAGTTGAAAGAATTGTTAGTAGCTTCCATTTGGACACCATCATCAGTCGTCTATCGAAAAGGTAAGTGTACGGAGACCGCAATTTATAGCTTTATTGCATTTTAAAAAGTTTATGCATTCCTAGCAAAGCTTGGTCAACCTGGTATTTAGTACTTAAGTACCGGAAAAAATGTAAGTGGGAGAGCATAATTAAGCAACATCTATATTCAAAGTTTAAATAGCTTTATCTAAAACCCTAAACAATCAAAGTATAAATGCATGACAGCCAAAATAATGCCTCAAAAATTTGCCGCACTACTACTCGTATCTGAGCCTACTATCAAGCAATTGCAGCAAGCGAAGCGTAGCACAAGCAAAATAAAAAAATATCGCTGGCGCTTCAAACAAGCTAGCAAGCGTGTAAGTATATGTAGGTAGGCGCATGTAATGGGTATGCTAAAACAACAACAACAACAAAAAACGAAGTACATTTTGAATATCTCAACAATCGCCAAAGCAAACAAAATCTGAGAATAACAAACAGAGGAGTACGCGTCCAAGCAACCTATCTGACTGGTAGACAAAAATCAATAACCCAATGGCTAATTAATAAACTAGCCGATGGTAAAACAAAAGGTGGCTAAAACAAACCTGCTTGTGTGCGCGATAGCAGGTGCAACCGCCCTATAAACAAGGAGGAGGGATTAATTGCTGAACTGGTTGCGCGCCTTTGGTTCAGCACCTGGAATTTCGGCGCGGCGCTCAAGCGTAACAAATCAAAGATTTCAGCATACAAGTGAAGCAATTTAAGTAGATCATAATTGGATAGTTATTTAGATAGTTTGAAAAGTAAGAGGTGAGAAAAATACTACATTTTTTTAATTTCAAAAATTTCGTTAGTGCTTTTGCTTTTCTCGTGGCAAATTTTTTTTGTTTCGGCTGCAGCTACTGTTGGAACAATCACTGCAGCTTAAATACGCCGAATGCGGCATTGCCAACAGCAAAAACTTGAATGCACACTGCTAACAGCAACAACAACAATGGGTATGCTAAAAGCGGTCATAAAATTCAATAGCCACAATTTTAACTCAAACCACTCAGATTGTGTCCAAAAGGCAGTGCAATAAAAATGGTAAAACAAAAAATTAATAAAAAAGACGCAGCATTGTTTTTGTGAGTGCGATATGCGCCTCAGACGCACGCACACATGCACGCATGCGCTCATCAATATTCATATACCTACGTGCATACATATGTATGTATGTATGAATCTGGCGCGTAGCTGCTGCAAAACGCTTGTGCTTGTTATTATTCTTTGTTTTTCCATTGATTTTTTGCAATGACTCGTAAACAAACCAGTTGTTTTTTTCATTACGTTTACGCCACCGCTGGCGCTGCGCCACTGCCCCACTGCTGACTGCTTTGAAAATCCATTCATATTAGCCGGCAAGCAGCGGTTGTAGTTCAGTCTCCAAACGGACGTTGCTCGGTGCACAGCTTTTGCCTGCAAAACAGCCAAGTAATAGTGGAAGTTGACAAAAAATTTGTCAAAAAAAAATAGTGTTATCGCAAAAAAAAAAATTTGTGGATTTCCAAGCACTTAGCGTGCGCGAAAAAAAAACAAAAGTTAATCAAATTTGCGGCTCGGCAAATTTTTTCGCACTCTAAGAACGATTTTGTGGAGCTCATCACAGCACCTATAGCAGCAGCCCTCTGTCAAGCAAACGCAGTGTTTAGCAAACGTGTATGTACAGCCATAATTAAACATTGTACTTAACCGTTAACAAGTGTTTAAAATTACTACAAAATTATTCATAAGTTTACATATTCATTGGCAAATGTTTGTGTGTTGACTTTGCTGCGCATACATACGTATATACATATGTATGTTGTAAAACAGATACCCAAGTGTTGCTTCATTTTAAATGTGCATATGCTGACCAGGCCATGTCTAAAATGCCCAATGGTTGTTGCGCTAAAAAATAAAGTATTTACCCCCCAAGAAAAAAGCAGTTGAACTAAAAACCACCGAAATTGTGTTTCAGCACCAAAACAAAACTAAAATTTACTATTACATAAGTAGTGTATGCATGCGAGTGTATCAACAAAAAGCGCAAATAATAAATTGCTTATGTATGAAGGAAAAAACTCGTTTACATCTTTAACTCATTCATCTTATTTAATTGTACGATATATATTGTCGAAAATATTTAGGTTTCGCACCAGCGTTAATGCAAAAAAAAAGCCAGTTATGCTCACATTTTTTAAACACTTCATTGACGTTGACACATGTTCGCATGGAGCGCAGAAATTTATGTGCGTACAGACAATTAACGCACAGTTGAAACACGCGCACTCACGCCCTGAAATGGCACGGCGCTTAAATCGGGTTCGCAGCCTAAGTCTTTTGTTTGCGCATAGGCGGAACAAACTTCATTGCTTTGAACCGCATTTTCGCTAAAGAAATATATATACATACTATATTATCGAAGCATTAATAACACATATTGAACTGTATTACTTTTTTACTTTGTGGAAATTTCTCCTCTTAACTGTTCTTATCTTAATCTATTTATGTAGTTGCAGCTAGTTACACATACGCATTAAAAAAATTCAAATTCCGTTCGCATACGATAAAAATCTTCTAACACTACACTACACTACAACTAAACATATGTATGTCATTTCTTATCTGAACTTTGTTCATACTTGACTTATTATCTTAGACGAGCGTATTAACTTGCACTATAAATATGGATACATTGTAGGAAATTATATATGCAACTTTTTGCTGGATTAGCGTAAATTGATATGTTTATTGCATTCAATGGCCAATTCGAGACTGACATGTTTTGAGCACATAAATTTTAATTCCTATAATAACGCATTTCAGCTGTAATGACGGATTAATAGTAGCTTAAACGAATTTTAATGCGTGTAAAAGCATAGTGAAGGATTAGATAATTCTAGATTAGTGTCGGGCATTTTTTTTTTTCAAATAACCCTGTACCATTAAAAGTGTTCTAACATCAGAAATTTAAATCTTGTTGCATATTAAGAGGCGAAACTATTTAATTTTAAACTATGTTCACATTACAGCATTACTTTGTTTGATCATATTACTTCACATAAATCAATTACGTTCAGACTTTCTTTCATAATTTCTGTAGACTTTTTGTTAGCATGTGTAGGTACGAATGTGTGCTTTGTACTTGATCAGGGGCGAAAGCCGAAATTTTTTCCGGGGCGGTGGGCCATCTTTTAAAAAATTTATATTTTCTACATAATCAGTTCCACCAAGTATGCCTATATTTTTTTTTTTTTTTATAAATTCGAGGCAAAACTCAAAAATCTAAAGACTCACTTTTCTTGTAAATATGTAGGTAAATTAATTTTGTCTCAAAATATGGATCAGTAACACCGCGTTCACGTTGAAACTCTAAATGATATTGAACATGCAAAATGTGGAAATAAGCAATTCGAGTCCAATTATTTTCACCCTTTCTAAAGCTTCAAAAACCTTTAAATTCAAATCAAAGATATGCGTGTAGTATATACATACATATGTAGCACTTTTAGGGATTATGTTAGTTCCAAGTCGAATTCATAATAGGGAGTGTTACCAGAGCGTCTGAGATTTTCGCAACGGTGTTCTGAACGTCAAAATTATGTGTTTGTTTTAGCTATAATTCTACGAGAATCGACTGTATTCAGAACAGTCGGCATACGTATTTCAAAAATACAAAACGAAAATGTCCAGCTAAATATTTAATACGATTTTTTTAAGATTTTTCTCTTGTTATCGGTTTTATGTAGAACTTTTTTTACCTTTCAGATCTTTTTTGTAAAATAAAGGACACTAATTATGTTCTGGCATTTAATTCTGGCAGAGAGAAATAAAAATGCCATTTTATAATTCAATAGTATAATATGAGAACCATACTGGCGAGCAATTTTATTCGACACAGTCTTTATATCACCAAATTTCCTAGATATTTATTATGATTTTGGATCCCTCTTTTTTCATGTCTTTAAATTGCAAACGAATTACACTATGACCGAATTTTTAACGAACTATTGTCCAACTATATGTAGTTTCTATGCGTGGTAGTCAAACTCCAAAAGTATTTTATTCTTTGAAAAGATATTTTCTGTTGTATACACAATATAGGTATGTAAATTCGTATACCTAGTATGTACTCCTACATAAATACTAAATATGTAATAATATAAAGAGTTGGAAGTCGGCCTTTGGTGGGTTGGATAAGACAATATTTGAGTTTGATTTAGAAATCTCAGAAATATAATAACACACTTAAAAATCGAATACATAACTAGAAAAATGAATTAAACAAAGAATAAGCAGAAGCGTTAAGCAAAAACAGCAAAATGCTTTTATAAAAAAAAAAAATATTTAATGGCAAATGCCATTGACGCAGATAACAAATAGAGGTAGACAAGAGAAAAAAAAAACAATTTACAGATATACCGTAAGGGAATCTCACAAACGTACTCACATACCTAAATAACTAAAACATTTACAGACATATACAAAAATACATATATATTTATGTGTAATCCGAGGGCATCTAATTGAGAGAGATAGAAATTTAAGCTGGCTTATATGCAAATTCCTATGTAAGCAATTAAACTTAAATGCTTCCACTGCTTTGTAAATAATATACTTTGGTAGTTTGGTTAGTTAGTTAGTCTGGTCATGTGCATGAATAAAATTAACTTGACGCTTGACCTGCCAAACATCATTCATTTCCATTTTATTTACTCAATACTCGTCTCGTCATACACACGTACGTACATATGTATGTATGTATAAAGAAGAATCCAACAAAATAAAAGAGACAAGGTCATGTCATGAACTTGTACCGCATCGTTGCAACACACAATCTGCGCCACATAAGGGCATTGCTACTTTTGGAGCGTTTTAATGGCACGAGTATCCATGATATACTCTTGACACTCCTCTCTTCGGCTTACAACCCTACTCTTAAGCTGGCAGCAAGTTAAATGCTTAATGATTGGCTGTATTTAAACTTTATTTGTATTTTTGAAAGGTAATAATATATTACTTATCTACATATCGTTCATTTACTAAAACAATAGCATAACTCGAGAACTGGATTTTCAGGAGATATGCTTAAAGTTTCCATTAACTCACGATTTCAGCACAAAATGTTTATAAAAGATGAAGCATGATATAAGCAACAATTCAAACATTTTGGTTTTTTGAGTTATGACAGTCTTTTAGTAAATTAGCGATTTGTACATATGTATGGATTTTAGTATGCCTGGTTTTGATTGATTTTATTTAACTCGCTTTTGAATGATATGCTGCCGAGAGAGACCCAATCAGTTCTTATAAGTTTTCGCTCGCTGAATCTGAGACTTAAGGCCGAAAATCAGGAGTGGCCTCGTTTTTTTGCTAACCTCAAACAAATTTTATAAATGATAATTTTGAGGTTCGAAAGAAAAAGGAGCGGCAAAACATTATTTAACAGCCTTCAAAAAAAGGAGAAGGTTATCAATTCATCGGAATATTTTTTTGTGTGATTTTTTTATGTATGCTACCGCATAACTTTGAACCATGTCGATCTTCTATCAGAAGGTAGTGTACCACAGGTGATCCCATACGGATTTGGTTTAGATAAGATAATCTTTATATGAGAGTTGAAGTCGGTAGTGCTTTTTCTTGAATATTACTTGTTGAGTCCTAAGTTGGTGTTTGTGCGCAGAACTGAAAACTTGGAATTTTTGTTTTTAATCTCAAAACAACTTTCTATTGCGGTACACTTACACTGAGGTTTTGGGGGTTGGAATCAACCAATTCTGATTTCAGTTACAGATTTTGTAACTCTAAATCTGGAGTAACTGTAAAGTTGAGCTAACCGTTTCGTTGATTAGCTTCACTCTTAAATATTCTTGCAAGAAAATATTCAACTGGCTTCCGTCGAGCCGAGTTCCTGCAGTTGCCTCAGAAACTGCCCAATGGAATGCCGATCATTACGGCATGCACATCCAAAGTCATGTAGAGACAGCGGTGTGGTTCGAAGTAATTTTATTGCTCATGCTTAACATATTCCTGGATCTATGTGGGCCGCAGTTTTTCTAATTGAGATATTGCGCGAACGCAGGTCCTACGGAATGGTAGTACGCACCTCTAACCACTCAGCCACAGTCCCGCTAGTTAATTACCGTAATGTACCTATAACCTGGGTAATTTCCAACTGACCAGAAATCAAACAAATTTGTGTCCTTAAGTCTTCTACTTGTTGTAAACCAACTGAGGAAGAGGACATTGTCTGAATTTCCGCCTGCTTATCTGAGCTAAATGTTTAACTGCGTTCACGCGGAAAATTCTAACGTTGTCTGGTAGGCAAAGGGATCGCTTCAAATTGAGTTGCACCTAGCCCTGATTCCATCTTTTATCCGTTTGTTAAAACGGCCTTGCCCATAAAGCACTGGGTTTCCTTCAAAATCCAGTTGCTTGGGCGGCTTGGGAAATTTTAGCGAGGTTTGCGGTTGCCTTGCATTCTTTTGCTTGCATAGAGATCCACCGAGGCTTTCCGTACTCGCTTATCAATGCTTAGTTCTCAAATAGGTGAGCAGAATATTATTTGTTTAAGGTCCCGATCACAGATTGTATGGGGCCTTGTTAACCGCTCGAGTAATTTATTGGCTACGAAAGGTTAAGGGTTTTATGAAAATATATAAAGGTAGGTTCTATAG